CTGCCCATTTATGATTTTCCTGAACTGGGGCCACTCCTTAGACTCGCGCACTCCCTTAAAAGTTCACCTGACTTGATGGAGACTGATTTAGAGAAAGGGGAAGCATTTTATTTCTTTTTCAGATTATTTTGAAAAGGCTTCATAATTTATGTTTAGGTTTTACCCCAGCATTAAAACTCTGGAACAGACCAGTTAGCCAAGTATAAATAAGGTTCGTTAGAGAGCATTAAGACAAAATATTTATTGATGTCAAAACGACATGTTTTTCCTAGTTTTATAATCATAAGATAATTTCCTCAAGTTCTTTGGCCCTGGATCCCCTTCCAGACAGGAACCTGGTATGGCTTATTGTAACTCATTCAATTAAACATTCAGTCAAAACAAAGGAAAACAAGAAACATGTAAAGATAATCCTTTTTCATCAAATCTGTTCAAAGGCTGTTTTGATTTATCAGCTCCCATTTTTCTAGTATGTGATCCATCTGTTTTTCAAACTTTTGCACCTTTCAAAACTGCTGATGTTTCCTGTGTGTTCAGTAACACTTGATATCTTTTTTATTTTTATCTATTTTTTAAATTTTTAATTACAATTTAAATTTTGGGTGGACTTGGTATGTATCCTACCATGATAGCAAATAGGAAATAAGTCTTCTTGGGTATACTGATACTATTATTTTACTTTGGAAACAATCTGTGGCTTCTCTTTTATTTGTTTATTTGTTTTTCCATGTCACAGGATCTATGACTCTGAGAGCAAATGGGCAGAGAGTCTGGGAGAGCTATCTGACTGCAGTGAAGTTCTTACCCTGAGGGAAGGAGAGAGGAAAGGAAGGTTGGGGGAAGTGCCCTAGACTGCTGTCTAGGAAAGGCCATAAGGGACTCATTAATCAAAAACTAGCTTTCAGAGGCATGCCCTGTTTCCCCCACATAGACCAGTCTTAGTGCTCAGTCATTGGATTCGCTAGGTGCAACCTATGGGAACCTGGGAACCGTGTTCTCTGGGTCCATCCCGGTAATTCAGCCTGCAGAAGTTAAACTCCCTGTCGATGGAGGTCCGTGAGGCCCATTCTCATGGCTGCCACATGCTCTGTGCATTCTCTGGTTACTTCAGTTCACAAGGATGGCCAATCAAGACTTGCAGAGTAAACGAATCCTCTGAATTACTTGGCAATAGCCACCTCTGGCTTCTGATTGTTACTTGCCATACACATTCCTGTTTTGTATTTCAGTTCTATATCTTGTATTTATACCTCTCCTCTGCAAATTACATGCAAAGCTCTGATTCATCAGGATTATTTATAAATGCCTAAAACTCAATAACTGTTTATTTTTTTTACTGATTAACAATCCTTCAAGGCATGTTCAATAAAGGAGAGATAAGATTATGATAAGTCCCAGGGATAATTTGCTTAAAAATAAACAGCTTAAAACTATTAAGGGCATGACATAAATAAAATGTCCTTTATATATTTATTCAACAACTGATATTAATTAAGCATCTGTTGTGTGCCAGGCATGGGCTTGGTGTGGGGAATGCAGTGATGAATGAAAGACAGGCCTTCCCCTCATTTTGCTTATGGGTTTAAGAAACAGACACAGAACAATCAGATAAACAAATACAGAAGAGAGAGAATTGGAAATGTATCAAATGGTGGCCTCTTGAATATTTTATTTATTCCCCACAATTGTTAGTATGAGGAAATTGAGGCATGCTCATGTAATAGACAAGCCTAAGATAAATTATCACAAAAGCTGAGGAACCTGTAAATAATGGTCATGTTTTCCCTCAAGATAGAAAGACCAGCCTGTCTTCCTGGACCATTCCTGGGATTCCATCTCTCACGAAGTTTTGTGCCTTAAGTGAGATAGGGATTCGAGAAAGCTCAATAGAACCAGATTTATTTATTCATTATTTCCTCATTGCCTTTCCCATGCTTCATTACTAAGTGCTAGGAAATACAAAGATAAAGAAGACTCACTTTCCAAATTCATAATTGTTTAATCACATGAGTGTCTATTGGTGACCATTTCCACTGGTATCTAGTGCTTATTTGCAATATTTTTTTTTTCACTCTGTTAAACAAATATATATTTAGTGCTCTCCAAGTGCTTAGTGAAAACAATTACAAATGGATAAGACATACCTCCCCAGCCTCAAAAATATACCTGAAATCAGATAGTAGCTCTAACACAAAACATTTATAAATATGATCTCATTATCTTATACAACCTTTCATTGTGACCTGCCAGAAATATATCAAGCTTTGACTTTTATACCTGAAGAATATCTCCAACTTAGTTATACACAAATTGCTTTGGAAAGTTAGCATAGGTGATATAAATTACCTTTTTTCTTTTCTTTTAGGAAAGTCTTAAAAGACATCGATACTTGAATTCTTTATTTCCTAGTGAAAATTCCACTGCCGTCTATGGGATAAATCAGTTTTCATATTTGTTTCCTGAAGAGTTTAAAGGTATGGTGTAGTGGTCCTATTAGTTGATTGATTCCCTGATATTAAGTTGTTTCCTTAATTTTTGAGGACTTGTTTAATTGTGAATCTAAAAAATTGAGTAATAGTTAACATTTATTAAATATTTCCTAAGTATCAAGCATGTACCAGGTGCTATCAGAAAAATAAATTCATGGCCATTCTTCTAATTATTACTTAAGAACTAAATATTAAACACATAGAGACTTCCATGTGGCTGTAAGGGACAATGAGCGCCTCATTCCTTCTGCAGTTTTAGTGCTGTTTCTTTTCAAGTTGCCCATGGTTCCGTAGATTATGATAAAACAAATGGTACCAATTATATTCATTTTTATTATTGACCTGTTTCTTTCAAACAAGTCATTTTATATGGCAGCTCCAGCCCTATTGTAGGAATGCTTATCTTTTATAGCTTTCAGTTGACTGCATTTCATGCTATGGAAAAGCACATAGAAAAATCACAAATGGCAGGCTCTCCTGCAAAGCTTCTGTTTCTGTTTGAAAAGTTCCTCCTAAAAGAACCCCAAGGGGTCCTCCCTATAATCTAATATTCTTATCTTTTCATTTCATGTTTCTACTCAGCTATCTATTTAAGGAGCAAAACTTCCAGATTTCCCCGATACTCCTCGAAAATGCCATTGCCCATCTCCAACATGTCTTTGCCATTAAGATTTGACTGGAGAGACAAGCATGTTGTAACACAAGTGAGAAACCAGAAGGCGGTAAGTTCTAGGGTTTTGTTCTTTTTAATCATCTTAGCATGAGAACTCATCTTTGAGGTCAAGTTCAATCAGATTTGTAATGGAACCCCTCATTCCTCTAGGAAAGATCACACCCCAGTCACTCAAAAAATGGCAATAAGCTAAGACTCTGATGGAATGGGTGGCAGATGAAAAAGCCCGACTTTTCTTCTGAGATAAACCTTCCCTGGTGTGTTCTCTCACTAATTACCATTGCCACCAGCCCACTGGCTCAGGGTGCTTCCCAGGAGCTGTGTCATGGTTACCAAATCCTTCTGTAGAGTAGCAGATGGCAGGCTGGAAAAGGTAAAGTCGACTACAACAGGGAAACGACACTGAAAAAGTAACAGGATACCAGATACATTTACCAGCCCTGGTCTCTTGAGTTCTCAGGCCTCATCCCTTGAGCTCCAATGGAAAACCCTAACCTCAAAAGGATAGTACACTTTCTATCTGTGACCCTTAGAAATGCAGTCAGTTTTGCTATAATGTGACATATACATACGTTCCCAAAAATCACCACCTGTGCAAAAATCATGCCGTAAAAACGAAAGGGATTATGGGAGAAATAAGGTTAGAGTACAACATTAAAAAGTGTATCACACTTATTGACACACTTAAAAAAAAGATAGAAGGTAGTAAAAGTTGCAGCACAGGGAATGTCAGCTGAGGGAGGAAAGTCGATCCCCTAACCACGTGGCTATACTCTCAGTTTATCTGCAGTGGAAACCTCAACAGGTCATTCAGCCTCCCCTTGTGTTTTTTTGTTTTTTTTGTTTTCAATTACAGTTGGCATACAATATTATATTACTTTCAGGTGTACAACATAGTGATTAGACATTAATATAAATTACAAAATGATCACTCTGATAAACCTAACCTATCTGATAGTATGACAACTATCCTGGACCCAGCAGTTTCCCAGTCACCATTTAGTTAGGGTGAGCCATTTTATTTCTCAGATTCTATATGCATTGTTGTGAATTAGATTTTACCACCAAATCATTTGCTTTATTGTTGGATTCATAACCCAGTGTGAAGTAGTCTGCATTCCAGTCTTCCCAGGAGTATCTACATTGTATGAAAGGGGCACTTTTAACTAGGACCCTTTCATCAGGGGAGTATACTGGAGAGAGATTTTTGAGCAGGCACTGCCCTCCTGGGGAAGCCAAAGGTAGGTTAACTAAAGCCAGCTACAGGTATGACGTCAGCAACCTGTATTCACCTTTCTCAGTGGGTGAAGACTCTGCAGTCCAGTGCCTTAGTGAATATTTTGCTATGCCATAGGCACTAGAGATCTAGCCATAAATAAGCTCACGTAAAGCCATAAAGTTGTTCAAAACTTGACTCCACAAAGACAACCAGTTGTTCTTTCTTTCTTTGCCTAACTGCAGCACGGTCCTCTGATCAGGTCAGTTCCAGCAGTTCCAAATCCCTCTCTCACCTCTGCCTTTTCCGTGGATGTCTTTCTCGTGTGTGATCTTTGATTCCATCTGCGCCATCTCCTGGCTTTCTTTCAGGATCAACCCTTTTATTCTTTTGTTCTAGTTTGTCCAATGAAAGCAAGTTACTAGATCCAGAATCGGGAAGATTGCCAGCCAACCTTTGAATGAGGAATGACTAATATGGCTTTTTATCATTAGGATATTTCATATGCATTTATAATAGGCACATGCTGGCATATTGATAGCTTAAAAAGTAATGCATTCAGCTCTTGTGTCTGTCAAATAATTAGTACAACGTATACGACATACATCCTCCCCCTGCCTCACCTTATCACCTTCCTAGGAGTAGATGATACAAAGCTTAGTATCAGGGGAGAGACAAGAGGGATTAGAGAATGTGGTGGGAATTGGTACGCTTCTTAGAAACAGTTCAATGAACGAACATCTCTCAAAATACCATCAGTCTCTCTTCTCATTCTCTATAATTTGGTTTTATCTTGCACTGTTTAATTTACAATAGTGATGCTACCAATTTACTTTTAACTAATTATTGGATTTTGATGTTTAAAAGAGAATTTTGGTTTCTTTCTTTTTTCAATTTGGAAATCAAGAGGATGGGCATTTATTTTTTTTGTAGGCCTCCAGATTCTGATCACTTGATTTGATAACTTGTGATATTGCAAAATGTTGGTGAACTTGGGTTCAATATTGCTCGATAATAAATGCTACTTTATTTCTATTTTTAAACAGTGTGGAGGATGCTGGGCCTTCAGTGTGGTAGGCGCAGTGGAATCAGCATATGCAATAAAAGGGGCGCCTTTGGAAGACCTAAGTGTCCAGCAGGTCATTGATTGCTCATATAATAATTATGGCTGCAATGGAGGATCTACTCTCAGTGCTTTGAACTGGCTAAATAAGGTGACTATTTTCTCAGCCTTTAAAACTCTTTGTTTCCTCCTTCGCTAATTTAATGTGTGTACCAAATTCAAACAGTTTACTCTCATTTACTAAATAATGTTTTTTAGAAATTTAGATGACCAAAGCTTGGATTAATCAGATTTTAAAATGAATTGCTTCTAGTCAAGTCAGCCATCAAGATCAAAGGGTGGAAAAATCTTACCTGAGATCTATTTTCCAAAAATTCTTTATGTTTATTTATGAGCATTTTTTAATAGGTAAATGCTTTTTTTTTTTTTTTGCAAATACATAGTGACCCAGAAAGAAGAGAGCATATGGCCATATGATTACCTATTTCCATAAAATTTCTGAAAATTAAGGTCAAAAGTGACATTAGAGGTCAGCTAATTTAGTAACTCTTTATATAGATGAAGATGTGAGATTATATTGCCAAATCAGTCGCCGAGCCAGAATTGCACCTTAGGTCCTCTGCTTCTCATTGGGCATCTTTACCCACTATCCCTCAGTGTTAGTGTCCCTCAGTGTTCCTAGGATGCTCTCTGGCATTATCCTAGATCCAGCATCAATTGTGTGAAACCCCCCAGTGAGGGTGCTATTACGTTTTCTAAAAGGTTGTCAAGCTGGAGTTCCCCAAACTCAAATATCCTTCCCTTATTCATTTGCTATATTTGAGTCACTGAATGCCAAAAGCTGCTCTGTATTATGGACAACAATGAATTGTGTGTCCTCTCCCTTTCATAAGCCCAACATTCAGAAAAGGAGGAGTGTGTGTAGACAACTATAAAGTGACATACGCCAGAGGAAAGGCACAGAGAACTGGATAGAAAGAATGCTTGGCCTAACTATTGCCTGTGCGTAAAGCGCTGTGCTGAGTGAGTCTCAAAGACTTGCTGACAGAACCAGTTGCCCTATTATAATCTCAGAAGAAAGATGACAAGACTTTGTTATTAGATTGGTAGAAGTTCCAAGGAAGGAAGATATGGGAAAAACAAAAGTAAAAGAGACAGAAAGATAACAACTCTAGTTACATAGGCTATCCATAGCAACACCTAAAGATTGAATTTAAGATCCTATTATTCCCCAAAGAATCCCACATGATGAAGGTGTGGCCAAGATGAATCTTATTTTGACAAGGGGCAGCAAGTTCTATTTGATTTTCTAAACAACTGAGTGACAGAGAACACTTTGGGTGATTATTTTCTTTTAGATGCAAGTAAAACTGGTGAGAGATTCAGAATATCCATTTAAAGAACAGAATGGCCTGTGCCGATACTTTGCTGATTCACATTCTGGATTTTCAATCAAAGGTTATTCTTCACATGACTTCAGGTAAATGTCTTATTCTACTGTGCTTTTCTTCTTATGTCTTAATTTATGATCTCTCGACTGTTAGGAATTAGTAACTTGATTGAAGTCTTTGCTGCATATTTGTAAATGTTTTCATACCTACTCTTTACTAGAGAGACTAATTGTCAATCACCATCGAATGTTACAGAGTTTGGGCCCGATAGCTGTGTCCTGGGCTGACACTGTCGAAGAATACTAAAAAAACTAAGAGCTCATGACCTTAAATACAGAAGTAGGGGAAAAAGCATGAGCTTCAAAGTTGGACGAGTAGGAGTGAATTGCTAGAGCAATTCTGTAGCACACCCTATATAAGCACAAGGGGAGTGACAGATCAATAAGGATAGGCTGAGGGACAGGATTTGTGTCAGAACATGAAGGGCACGTTATCTTCGACAGGTTCAGGGGAAACAAACCTTAATGACAATAAAATTTAGAATTTTTAAATACTAGGGATTTCACTGGCCTGTAATACCATGTAATAAGGCTTAATAATATACCCATTATTAACACTGTACGTTTTGATAGTACTACACTGAGCTAATAATGGAAATGAAGATGCTGTTTGGACTATATTTTAATTTGCTAAAAGCCAAAACCTTTCTGAAAGACAAGTGATAACAACGCTAGTTAGTTCTGAGGTTAGAGTGGAACATTTCTTTGCCTGCTGGTCTTGACTGTGGCGTGTCTACTGTTTCATAGATTCCTGTATGTTTGCTATTTTTTCTTTAGCTCTGCCTCAAAGCAGGAATTATTACTAAATTATTTCTTTGATCCTACAATGTTAATTACCCTGGCATTCTAAAAAATATTTCTCTTCTTGATCTTTCCCCTTCCCTCAGGCTGTCCCTGTAACTGGATCATGTATTTACAGTAAATCTTTTGTTATCTTAAAAAGATGGAGACAGCTGTGTTCTGGTTAATACAGATTATCATATTTAGATTATAAACTTTTTAAAAATTGAATACAATAAAATATATACTATACACTAAAACCTATGCTGAGCAAAATTAGTTATTAGATAACTTAGAAGTGAGAGAAGGAAACAATATTGTAAACCTAGAGGATAATTTATATGTTAGGCATGCTACAAAATTTATACGTATAATTTTATTCTTATATCGATCCAGCAAGGTAGGTGGAATGACTCCAGCATACAGCTGTAATTCAAACACAGGTACGCAGAACTTCAGAGCCCATACCCTACCATGATGCCTCTTTAGAATTATATAATTTTGCCTGTCTCAGGTAATGTTAATGAATACCAATTATTATTACAGTAGCAAAAATTAGAAATGACTTGTTATAGATCCCCCCAAAACATCTTCAAGTTAAAAGGTAACAAATAAATGTGTAGAATGAAAAATGCGTAGTTTCTGTTTCAGTGACTAAATTCCACTGTTAGTCATTCCATGTTTCCCTCATCTGTGGAGAAAATACCCTCTTGGTAGAAACTGATGTCTAGTTGGGCATAGTGAGGATTATATACTCTTTCAAGCCACTAATCCAGGAATGTCTTGCTGCCGCAATAAACTACCAAATGATATCTTCATGGCCTGAAATATCAATAACTTGGTGATAGTGTCCTTCATGCACAAAGCTGACCTTTAAAAATGTAAATAATGGTTTACTCATTCAGCCAAGATCAGTGAAGGCCAAACACTGTGTAACCCAAGATTCATCAATAGATGTCCATATTTGAAAGCAATAACTGTCTTTTGCAGTCTTTACAATTTAGTACTAGTTTCCCTGGCATCTTCACATTTCTTCTATCACATAATTATATTGGCCACTTTGGGGTAACCTTTCCCTATAATCTATGTTTGACATTCACTAACATAATCAGTCTCTCTCTTTTTTTTTTTTAATATCTTTATTGATTTCAGAGAGAGGAAAGTAGAGGGAAAGATAGTGATAGAAACATCAGTGATGAGAGAGTCATTGATCCACTGCCTCCTGCACGCCCCCCACTGGAGATCGAGCCCGCAACCCAGGCATGTGCCTGATGGGGAACTGAACCACGATCTCCTGGATCCTAGGTCAATGCTCAACTGCTGAGCCACACCCGGGCGGGCAGTTAATCAGTCTCTTGCTTCTCACGTGGTGTGGCAGGGATGTCTCCATGCATCCAGTCTTTCCACTTTCCTTATTAAAAGAATCCCTATATTATAGCTGGATACTATGCCAGCCAATTGCAAAACTCCATTTACAATCTTCCTTGAAGCTGGACTTAGCCATGTGACTGAGCTCTAGCCAGTGAGATCCATGCAGATATATGCAGAGTGTGTGTGTGTTACTTCTGGGAAATCTTCTAGCGCCTCTCCTTTGCACTTTGCTGTCTGAAATATGTGTTAAATGGCCGGAGCTCCTGCAGCCATCTTGGACCATTAATTGACCTTGGGAATGGATACCTCACATAGCAGAATAATAACATAAAAGGAGCCTGGGTTCTTAATATTCACTGCAGTCATTGACTGCCAATCTCCCAGACTTCTTGTAGCCTCCACTGTTTAGACCTGTAATTCCAACCATACCTACATGTATCCGTACAAAGATTAAAGAGATCACTTTTATAAAATTTTCTTACCTTAAAAACTAAACTCCTTAACCAAATACTTTCTCTTTTGGTAGTGACCAAGAAGACGAAATGGCAAAAACACTTCTTACCTTTGGTCCTTTGGTAGGGATAGTGGATGCAGTGAGCTGGCAAGACTATCTGGGAGGGATAATACAGCATCATTGCTCTAGTGGAGAAGCAGATCATGCAGTTATCATAACTGGGTTTGATAAGACAGGTAAGTGCTGGTAAGACGTGATTGCTTTTGTAATTGACATGATTGCCACCCTTTAAAAAGTTAAAATTTGGTCTCGTTATGTCTAAGTCCTCCTAGGACCTTTACAACTTTTCAGTAGACTTCCAGATATAAATAACCCCATTGTGTTCCTCCTTATCAATTTTGGTGGATAAGTTGTTAAAATTATGATAATTACTGATTTAAATTGTGTGTATTTTCCATCTGGAATATTTAGGATAATTGTTGGGAAAATAGAAGTGCCTATTATTCTACTATACATGTCTAACAATTATCTTTTCCCTGTTTCTAATACCTTGGAAATGTGTGCATCTGTTTTCATTATATGCAGGCTCTGTATTAAGTGAAATGAATTCAAACATATATTTCCAATAATTGAAGTGTGACACTAAGTACAGCTCAAGTTTACTTAGCTAGCTTAATTTAGTATTCATTACAGTGGGTTTTTTGTTGTT